GTGGTTCCCTTAAAGAGACTAGACCGATGATACGATCTGATTAATGCTGCCTGATCACAATAAGGAACCATTCTTTCCTGGCAAATCAAAGCCTCTCCTGGAAATCAAAGCAGAATCTTCCACATCAGCAGACATTTTATTTTGTGAAGGGCAAAAACTAGAAATATTAATGATTAAGTTCTTCACAGTCATTTTTACAAATTCAGATTTAGATTTCAGCTTAAATTCAGCTTAAATTCATATTTTAATACTCATAAGAATACTATTAACCCAGAACATATCCATTATCTTAATGAGACCTGAAACATCCACTCTGCCATGTAGTTAGAGCTACCCATTGTGTGTAAAAACAGTCCCCCATCTTCATCCTAGAGTTAATATTAGCACATCTCCTTTGAGCAAGGCAAACTGGTACTATATGAAATTTACCGGAGAAATATCTCATCTGCACAGTCTACGGAGATTCTCAGTCATCCAGTTATGATTGTCCCAAAGGTGCTTTTTCAAAAGGCAACTGGGCTTTCAGTTCAGAACTGAAAAAGCTGCTTGGATGAGAAGCGAAATGTCTTCAAAGAAAAATCAAAGTCAAGTTGTCTTTTGAAAAAGCACCTTTGGGACTCAACTACACAGCTTACCTTTTATTATTCTCTTTGGTATTTAAACCAAGGTGGTAAAACACATAATGGGAAGCTCCACAGCTATGTGCCAAAAGGTACATAGCTGTGTACTGCCAAAAAGTAATTATTTCAACATCTACATTTAGGTGAGAAGCACAGCCCATAAGCAGCTATGTGCCATCACTAGTACGTCATGGTGCCCCGTATTGTGTGGTATAATTTAAGCCTTTAATGATCTATTCCCAAAAAGTAAAAATGCTTTTAGGAAAGCCTTAATGTCCCTTTGCCATGAAAACTGAATTATGCATGCAACTATCCATAACTCAGCACAACTGTACATGCAGCAGCCACAATATGCACAGTGTTCTAACCTTGCTCCTAAGGCATAAGGTTCAAAAGCCAGGGCAGTCCCCAAGCCCAGCCTCCCAGATGCAGCCCTGTTCAACCGGTTTAGCCAGTTAACTCTTTAAGAGAGAATGCAGAATGTTTACATGAGCAGTAAATACTGGGTTGCCTATGTGACTATCTCTATTCCATAGAGAATTATATCCTAAAACACTCTCAATTCTCCAGGGAGCGACTCTGAATTGTTGTGTCCTTGCATAGAGCAGTGCCCTATTGCTGCTCAATCTGACTACAGATCTCCCACAATGCCTACTATAATTGTAAAAAAATTCTTGACTTTGACAAAGAATCTTACTTTTCATCTACTTTAATCACTAGCAGCATCTCTAACATTTTAAGAATTCCTTTTCAGCATAAAATTGGGACTCTTTCTTACTCAGATATAAGCCATCTATTGTAGTCAAAGTAAGTTTTAATACGAACGCTTAAACACTCTATTCAAAAATTAGGGTCTCTTGAATTTCATTAAGAAACAAAAACCAGAATAAAACTAGGGCCACAGACACATAAAAACTGTGAGAGACAGGGGAAGAGGTGCAGAGTCCAAGAGGCAGGCTCCATTTTTCGAAAGAGCAGAATTACTTCTAAGAACATTATTGATAACACTTCCAAGCACAACCATGAAAATCCCCTTGGCTGATTGTTATTCTCCTCTTTGCCTGCCTGGCTAGGCTATTCTGTCCATATTCCCTTTCTAGAACAATCCCCAGAGATGCATTTGGCTTTAAAAGACAGTGACTGATCTGCTCCCTCTATGGCCATGTTCCTTGTGACAAGGGAGATCTGTGTACAAAATAGGAAAGGAGGGGGAGGGAGCTGCAGTTCCTTCCTGCAACTATCAAAACAGAGCAACGATTTTGAGAGGAGAAGCAGTTCCAAACACACCAGCCCTTGTGCCTCAATGAACAGGCCGATTTTCAATCCACAGGCACACATCCTTCGCAGGACAGCTGCTTTCTCTGGGAAAAGGGCAGAGGGCATTAGAGGGCTCAGTTCCTCAAGGCTTTTGGGGGGGGGGGCGGAATGATTTGCCTTTCTAAACATGTAATCAATCCTCTTCTTAAGAGACGAGGTGGGTGGGAGGCTTTAAATTCTGTTTGAAGACATACAGCTGCTTTTTATTTCTTGTTTTAGGAGGGAGCCCAAGGAAGAGGCTGAGCAATTTAGAGATTAAACAAGAAAAGAAATGCAGTTCGGCCCGCCTTGCTGGCAGAGGGCTGCTTCCCTACACAGGCAGAGCCAGGCTGGCGGAGAGATGATGAAATATTAAATGGAGGTTAGCAGAACCAAGTCATTTTCAGCGCACCAACCCTGGCAAATGCAACGCCTCCCTCCGCGGTGGCAGACCCTCTTCTTCGGCCGGGGCTCCCCGGGGCCCAGGAGCCGCGCCTGCCTTTCACCTGCGCCATCCACCTCGGCTCGCCAAGGGCGCCAAAGCCCGTCTTTTCTGCAGCCGGCTGGAGGTTGCTCTCCCACCACCTCCCGGCTCGATGGCTCCTCCGCGGTCCTGCTGGCCCTCCCCACCCCCATCGTCCCCTCCTCCCGAGGCAGCCCCTCCTGCCACCCCCACCGCCCTCCTCGTCGCCAGGCGGGAAAGCCCCGGCAGCGGCCTCTGGACGACTCCCGGGCAGGGATGGCGGGGGCGCCCCTCCGACCCTCGGTCTGCGAAGCCTCCCCCGACCGCGGCCCTGCGCTTCCAGCCGCCGCCGCCCGATCCTCTGAGTGCGGGGGAAGCCCCGGCGGAGCCGGGACCGCAGAGGTGACCTCGCGCTCCCCCTCGGCCACCCGCCCCGCCCCGCCCCAGCGCACGGGAGCCCCCCCCCACTGGCCGCTGTCACTCGGCCGCGCGACCCCTCCCCCGCCTCGGAGGCCGCCCCGCCCCGCCCCGCCGGAGGAGCCGCTTGGCCTCGATTCGGGGCCTCCCACGCCGCCCCCCCGAGACCACGTGCTCCGCGCCCCCCCGGCGCCCCCAGACCGCCCCCTGGGCCTCGCCGCCGGTGGGGGGGGAGGGGAGGCCTCGGCGTTGTTCTTACCCGGCGCTGCGGCGGCGACCGCCTCTTCTCCGTGGCGGCGGGAGGCCCGACGGCGAGCGCGCGAGGCCTGCTCGCAGCTTCTCTGCCTGCGCCCGGCCCGGCCGCCTGCCTGAAGGAGCGGCGGCGGGCGGGCGGGCGGGGCGGCGCGGCAGCGGCGGGCCCTCAGCAGTGCCGGCGTCGCCGCCTCCGGCCCACCCGCTCCATGGCTCGTCCGCCTCCCCGGCGGCTCTCGCTGCCTCCCCGGCCGCTGCTGGCTCGCTGGCTCGCCCGCTCGGAAGCCCTCCTGCCCAGCCCGCTCGGCCGCCCGACAGCGCCGCTTCCTTCCTCACGGCACCGCCGCTCCGTCCGCCGCCAGAGCCGGCCCTCCCCATTGGCCCGATGAGACGGGCCTCCCCATTGGCTGGCGACGGAGCGAGGCGGCGAGGTGGAGCCCGGACGCTGACTGGAGCGCGCGTGACGTGTCCCAGGACTTTCGGGCCTCTTCCCGGCGGGCGCGTGCCCGCGCGCGTACGTGAGTGCGTGCGGAGGAGGGGTTCTCCGGGAGGGGAGAGAGCGAGAGAGAGGCACCCTGGGATTGGTCGAAGTCCGGCGGATTAGCCAGTCTCCTCCGAGGTCACGTGAGGGGCGCCGCGCTGCCCCGCGCAGCTGTTGCCGGGGTAACCGAGAGGGGGCTGGTCGCTGCAATGGGGCCGCATCCCTCGCACCGGAACGGCCCCGCCCGCCCGAGCACGGAAGACGCCAGCCGGAAATGCGACCGCTGCCGGCGGGATGGTGGCCTCCGTGCCGCCTTGTTCCCCTGCTCGCCAGCCAGCCAGCCGCCCGGCTGCACCCGGGGCTTTGGCGACGAGCCCTCCCGGGCAGGGAGACGCTTCCCCCGCGCTCCGCCCAAGCAGCAGCTGCACCTTGCCCCGAAACTCCGGCGGATCCTGCTGTGGCTGCTGCCCGGGGCACGGGCCGAGCCGCCAAGCGGGAGCGCGGGACGTCGAGGGCTCTTCTGGATAGCTCGGGGGAAACCCCGGTGCTAGAAAATAAGGGAAGGGACATGCATGCATGCATGCGCACACACACACACGTACGTTTGGCATCAGTGCAACCCACTCCCATTTATACCCCGCCTCTTATTTTTTTCAAAACTAAACCAAAGCGGTGAACATATCTAATAGTCGTCCTCCCATTTTCCCACAACAACCCTGTGAGGTGGATTAGGCTGAGAGCTGACTGGTGCCTAAGGCAGGGTTGAAACTCTATACCAGTTAATCGGTGCCTTTACCATTAGACCAAACTGGCTCTATTCATACCCTAATATTAAACTCCCAGGACAGGAGGCTTTGAAACATTTAATATATATTTCTGTGGGTTGGAAATTCCAGGGCTGCCCTCTCTTGTTCTGTTCCTCCCTATGAGGAGAAAATAAACTATGAAGACGAAAAGATTGTCCAAAATTTCTTGAGCAATTGTGGAGAACATGGTGATTGCCCCAGAAGTTGAATTCTTCCTATTCCACAATCTAGGAGTTTTAAAGACACAATCTAGGAGTTTTTAAAAAGATTATTTGAATTAAAAGAATAAATCCTACGTGGCCTACAGTATGCAGCATTGTGCATTTATTTATTCATATTGCATGACCCATCACCATTATTTTTTTTATTAACATTCTCCAGCAACTTGAAAAAAATCCCCCACTGATGTCATTGCTGGAACATGATTCTGTGTGTGATAGCTGAAGGTTGGACGTGTTCCCAAAGGAAGCTTTATTACCACTCAAGGGACACTGCATGAAATCACCTTTTTTCAAGGTTACATTTCAAATGTTTAGAGTAAAAGATAATGCATACTATTATATATTAACTCTGAATGGCTGAAATTACACTTTAGATTCAGAGCCAAAATGGAGATGCCTATAATTCTAATAATCTATAAGTATCCTCTACAATGTTAAAAAGCATTATGAACCACATGATTTTAATTTGAACCACATTGCTGAGTACTTTTATAGTTTTACATGCTTCAACCTTCCAGCACATGAAGCTCCAATCAAGGCAGCCGTTTGCAGTATTTCATCATATGAAATCAATGTCTATCTTAATGCAAGTGACAGATTTTTTTTTTCTCCTGGCCCACTTCCTCCACAATCCTTTCAAAATGTCACCTGTCAATAAAGTAATCTAGTTGAATTTTATGTCTATACATCAAATGTTTCTCAGTTAAGTACCAGTTATCTAAACAGGCATGTAGATTATGCAGTAGGCGCTTGGTTTGATCAAAAGTTTACTCATGTGTCCCAGAGGAAACCAGTTAACATCCTGGGTGTGTCTGTCACAAAGTTGATTGCTGAGATATTAACATAAGGAAAAGTTTTGCAAGTCTGTTGTTGTTTGGAAGTTGTTGGAGAGTGGAACCATTTGTTTAGGGAAGAGCAGTGACGTTTCTATTCAGTGAAATCGTAAAACCTCTCAAGCATTGCAAATCTGATCTTGAAACAAAATGTTACACAGCTTTAACATTATTTCTGCCTAAACTAACTTTATTTTCTAGCCACGCTGCAGTAAATCTTTCTCTCTCTGTTGCTCAACTATTAAATATCTTCTGCTTATCCAACTGAGCAAATTCTCTTCTATAACTTGACTCCCGTGCCTTTTTATGAAGGGAACCTGCAAGACTTAAAGGTGTGTGCAAATTGAGAGTCTCTGGGTGAAGTGAGCATCACTTTTAATGACCCTGGTGTGCCCACATGCAAATTGGAAAGCAACACACCCACTTCTGGAGCCAGAATAAATACATTTTTAGCCATGGTGCTGAAGTTTCCCACTTCCCTATTTTACTCTGCTGTCCGGGATGCTATTCTCTTTCTTTGCACGTCCTAATTCCTCTTCACCAGCGAGTTGTTTCCAGGCCTTCTATTGCGATGCTTCCGGTTACTAACCTAAGGTTGCGCGGGCATGGCCAAACCCTACAACCCAACGGGTGCGACACCCTTAGGCTGGGGGCCGGCGGGACCTCCTTTCCCCACTATCTATTTAACAAGCATATATGAGATAACAGATAAAAGTATAAACGTAATTTGAATACATGAAAAGGATACGAGTAAAAAGGAATTTGCTGGGCCCTCCGCGCCATGGACGGCGGAGGTGGGGGGGGCGAGGGGGGGCTTCTCCTTCAATCACCCGGCAGCTCCAGGCCTGAAAAAGAAAGCCGCCCCCGCCGCCTGGTCTCCATCCCGGTTGGAGGCCCGGGGAGCGGGGCGAGGGGAGTCGGGCTGCGGCACCACAAGACCCATGGTGCCCGCCCAACCACCGTTAAAGGCTGGCGACCGGGCCTCCCCCTCGCTCCCCCCGCCAGGTGGCGGCACGGGGTCTCCCCGCAGGGCGGCGGCCATCTTGAGAGCGGGCTGCCCGCTTCCTAGATGGCCGCTGCCTTCCCGTCGCGCGGCCTGCCTGCCCGGGGATGACGGGCGCCGCCTCGCTGCTGCTCCTGCTGCTCCGGCGCCGGGGCCGCGGCCTCCTCCGGCCCGGGACTCCGCTGCCGGGCGGCGCTCGGGGGGCTCTGGCGCGCCGCTGGACCCGGGCCCCCGCGGAGCGCCGGCCGGGCGACGACCTTCAGGTGAGCGGCCCAGCAGGGCCCGAGGCAGGCGGGGGGAGGGGGGCTCCGCTCGGGCTCCCCTCACCCCCCCTCGCCCCCCCGCTCTGCCTTTCAGCCCCGGCTGCCCGGCGCGCTCTGGGGGGGCTGCTGGGCGCGGCCTGCGTGGACCCCCGCCCGGCTGTGGAGGCTGCTGGGTGAGTAGGAAGCGGATCCGTCCGGACTGGGCGGGGAAGCCCCCTCCCCACTGTGTGTGTTCCGAAGGAGGGGTTGGCGGGGCTTTTGCCCCTTTTCCCTTCCCTCGGAATCCCAGCCGCCCCGGGCGCTGCAGGCGAGACGGGAGCCTCCCTGGGGGAGGGGGGGGGGGGGGGGGGGGGGGGGCGGCGGGGGGGCTGCCGGGCTCCCGCTCGGGAATTTCCGCCCCCTCTTAGGCACCGTTTGCTCTCATCCCAAGCGGACTTTCTCTTCCAGCCCAGGCAAGAGGCCAAGGCAGCGCCCACAGACGCCCGGCTGCCCTTTGGGGCCTCCCCTGCTGAGGAGCCTGCAAAAGGAGCCTCCGGAGGGACCCCGTCTTTGCCCCAGGGCTGCCCTCCCGAGAGGGGGAAAGCAGGCAGCGCTCACTTTCGCTTAAACGTTTTTAGATCACCATAAAAATGCTATTCTAGGGTGAAAACGGTAATTTTTTAAAAAAAACCAACTACAGCAATGTAATTCACAAAATGCCTAAAGGAGGCTGGCCAGGGAGCCCTCGGTTTCATAAAATGGTTTGAAATGCCTGAGCACTTCTCTGCCTTTGCATCCAGCGCAACAAGATCAGCATCCTGGCCCAGTTGGGGCACTGGAGCAAAGGAGGCCTTCTCTCCCCACCCCCCTCCCTCCCTGTCATGTCCTCTCCAAACGGTCCTTGAAGAGGCAGCTCACATCGGAGGCTTTGAAGCCGTTCTGGGAAAGGAGGAACTCGCTGGAGTCTCTCCTGAAGCCTGGTTGATGGTGGGCAGGCCAGCCTGCCTGCCTGCCTTTCGGCTGCCTCCGTGTCCCACTGGAATGGTTCCCCCGAGGCAATGGTAGAAAGGGCCGCCTGACAGAGCTACAGGTTCTGTCTCCACCCTGGGGTGCTGAAAGTTAAGCCAAACCTGGGTCCTTCCTTTGAAACTTGCGAGAACTCTGCTTGTTTGGAGTGACGGCTGAGCAGTTCTGCACTCCTGGCTCTTCTTTGTGCCAAACAGATCAGAGGTACCTGGCCTTGACTGCGGGCTTCCTTACTGGTGGCACCTGCTGCTATTTTTCTACGTCTGGTTCTCATCGCAATGACCGAGGCGGGGGAAAGCCCAAAGGGAAAGCCCCAGAGGAAGATGAGGGTAAGTTTGGATTTATATGCAGTTTTGCTATGAAGCCCCTAACAGTTTTTTTGGGTTTGGGCGAAGCATGTTCGTCTTCTCTTTTCTGTTAGCCTACATAGCCTCCCATCCAGCTCGGATCTCTCTGCATCTTAAATTACTCTGAACAAGCTGGCTCTCATCAGCAGTGTTGGCCCAGAAACAGTCCTCTTTTCTCTCAGATGAACAAACCTCTTATGTATTTTGAGCATTAATATATTAAATATATTAATATATATAATATATTAAAATTAAATTGACATGTTCTTGGATTGAAAATTTTTTTTAGGTTCATGGCCATTTTATGCCCCAGTTTAATTTTATAAGGAACTTACACCTTTTCTCCTCGGCAGCTAGGTGTGTCTTCTTACCTGTGTGTGCTTAATGCAGGTGACCCTGCAAGGACTATATCACAAATGATGGCTAAGCCTTGCTCTGGGCAAGGGGAAAGAGCACTGGATATTCTACTGGAGCTGGGAATATGGGCATCTCATTGTCTTTAATTTGTTCATATATCATTCTTAAAATTTGTCAGATGCTGCTGTTACTAGGGAGCCTTTTTCCTTCCACAGTTCATGGAGGCTCTGCTCCAAGCCCAGCACATGTGTGAATGGGTTGAGGTCATAGTAGTGCTAAACCCAGTTCCCAGTGGTTAAGAAGCCAGTGCAGCCTGTTCGTTAAGAGTTTTAAGCTGCCAGAATTCTGCCCTTCTCAGCAGCTTCGCCTGTAGTGCTAAGCCACAGTTTCAAACCAGAGTACTGCAGCCACGTCCCCAGGAGAAAATGGTGCAAAAAATTCCTTCCCTGGGGTTCCTGGGAGAGTTTCAGGAGTAGTGGGAGTCACTGCAAAGCTGGCTTATCTGCAGCCTTCCCCTTGGCAATGGTGGCAGCTTGCCCTTTGGTTCATAGGTGCTGCAGAAGGCAGCCATGCTGCTCTGGCCATTTCTAAGATAAAAATACATTCGTCTTTTCCTTTTGTGGCTTTGTTTACTTTTGTCTGAGAAACGCTGGCTGGCTGTTACAAAGCCCCCCTGCCTGCTGAGGACCAGGGATGGCATCCCAGCTAGGTAGCTCCCTAAGGTCTTCTCCTCCCCAGCCATTGGCCTGGCCTGAATAGGCCTCTCCTGCCACCCAGCTGGCTGGCCCTGCTCTGGCCTCCCTTCATTCAGGCCGGGCAATGGCTGAAACACAATCCTGTTCTGCAAACCAGATGCTAGTTTTCTAGCCCAAGTTTGTTTTCTAGGGAAGGCTGAAATGTGGAACAAAAACCAGGCGGGGGGGGGGGGGGGGGGGGGGGGGGGGGGGGGGGACGACACGGCTGTGGCCCGAGGCATAATCAGCTTGTTGTAACGTTCATCTTGATGTGCTCTTGTGTTTCCTCTCCCCAGAGGAAAAGAGACGCCGAGAGAGGGAAGACCAGATGTATCGCGAGCGACTGAAGGTCCTCTTCTTCATTGCCATCATCATGAGCCTGCTGAACTCGCTGACCACCAGCGCGGGAAGCATTTCCTGGAACGACTTTGTCAATGAGCTGCTGGCCAAGGGGGAGGTGCAGAGTGTGCAGGTGGTGCCAGAGAGCGAAATCGTGGAAATCCACTTGCACCCGGGGGCCGTGGTCTTTGGGTGGCCCGTGAGTGTCCTTTTTGGCCCTTCGTTCCTTGGGAAATGCCGCTGTGGGCCCTCTGCTTTTAAATCAGTAGCCAGAATGCTTCAGTCACAATGACTTCCTTCCCCCCCCCCCATTTTGTGAAGTTTTCATGTTTTTCTGAATGATTTCATTAAGTGAAGGAAGTCAATGGCTTATGTGTGTTCCTTGATCATTTGAAGGGCTTCCTAGAGAAAACATAGTTAAAGCATTTGAGCTTTGGACTGATCTGAAAATGATTTCCACTTCAGGAATTAACCTGTGGGAAAACTCCAAATACATATGGCGTATTAATATTTGAATAACCAAAGGATTGATTGTAGCCATTCTGAATCACTTTAGCTTTGGGTTGTATTTTTAAAAAAGTCCTTTTGACCCAGGTTTCAAGTAGGCTTGGATGTTGACAGGCTGGGTGGTCAGATGACTGAAGAAGCCATTTTTGCCTTGTTGGGGCTGTTTTCTCCCTCTATAGAATTGCCCCACCATGAGCATTGGGCAAGGGATGGCTCTGTTTTCAGAGGCAGCCCTCCCTTCCCTTCTCAAAGGCTTACCTGGCTGGGACTTCTCCACCTTTTTGTGTCTTACAGAAGTTGAGCCTGACCTACGTGATGAAGGTGGCAAACATCGACAAGTTCGAGGAAAAATTGCGAGCAGCCGAAGAGGAGCTGAACATCGACCTGAACGACCGGATCCCCGTCTCTTACAGGCGCAGCAGCTTCTTTGGAAAGTATGGAGGGAGGGAGGGTTTGACTTGCCTCCACCCTGGCAGCCTCTCTTGTCCGCCTTTCTCCTTTCCTCACAGTTGCTGGTCTGTACTTAGATCTCGGGGTGCACAGTGACCAGATGGAATGCTGTGCTCTATTGGCCTATCCTGAAGATGAGGTCTAGGATGGAGTCTGCCATGGACTGGCCTGAATTGTCCAGCCCACAGTTGAATCCCATAATGGAGGGCCCGGCCTAAGGCCTCTGAGTAAAGGAGTTCCTTGGGAAAATGTCCGGTTTGGTAACTGGAAGGCCTGCTGCCTGAGAGTGGCTTGGTGGTCCCTCCCTGACAGCAAACTGTGCCTCTTGGCCGGGTCACCAGAGGCTCCTGCAGAGAGACACAGACACACAACCCCACTCGGTTGCAGTGGGCTGGCATAGATTCTCCTTTTGAGTCTTCCCCCAAACTGAAATTGCATGGCACCTGTTTCTCCTCTTTTGGAACTGTTAAATGAGCAGGCAGCCAAAGGATTTACGGTCACCAAAAACCCCAGGCTCCCTGCTGTGTTTATTCTGTTATTTGAGAAATCCAGTTTCCTGCTGTATTTTTGGCTCCCCAAACTCAGACCTGTCTCCAGATGCCGAGGCCTGACCCTCTTGTGCTCCTGTCTTGGCAGTGCCCTCTACACCTTGGGAATGACTGTGGTGAGCGTTGGCATTCTATGGTACATTTTTCGGCTGGCTGGCATATCAGGAAGAGAAGGCGCCTTCAGTGCCTTCGTAAGTAGCCTCACCCCGGGGGGGGAGGGGGGAGGGGTTGACATCCTCCAGATGGGGGTGGTCAGAGACTGGGCAGTCTGGGGCTCCTCCGTCTTCCTCTATCGTGGTTGCCATTGCTGGGGTTGCCTGCTGTTCAGCCTCCTATGCAGAGGTGTGTGTAAAAAGGGAGTCCCTTTCCCCTCTCAGGTGGGAAGGCAGAGCTCCAGGGTCTGCCAGGGCCAGGTCTTTGTGCTGCTGGCAAACCCTTCCCTGCAGCAGTTCTCAGCAATCGCTCTTGCCTCCACTTTAGGACTGCTGTAAGCAGCCCCCTTTCCCCCCTTGGCAGGGGTCAGGTGCCTACTGATCTGTGCCAGGCAGACCCCCGTTCCATCAGCTGAGAAAAAACTGCTGGTCTTTGCCTGGCTGGGGGAACACTCAGAACTGAGCCTTCCCCAGCTTCCGCCCCTCCAAGGATGTGGGGACTGTGCCTCCAGCCCAGGCTGCCCAGCACATCCAGGGATGTGGCAGTTCTCCCTTAGAGGCTGGAGACCGCCTCAGAGGGGAGTGGGGAGCCCAGGGTGAAGAACTCTTTCCAAAGCTCAGCAGAGGATAATAATCAGCTGTGTTGCAGTTCAGGTAAATAGTGATTTTGTCCATCACCGGCTCAGAGGAGGCCGGAATGTGATGCCTGCTGTTTTCAGGGCTGCTCCACTGCCCCCCCAGTCATCGAACCTTTTGAGAGGCAACGCTTTTGGAGTCTGGGGGCTGCACGCTTTGTTTCAAGCACGCTTAAGTTCAGGAAGCCCCCATCAGCCCTTCCATCTAAACGGTAGATAGGAGGCACATGCTCAGCTGAAGGAGGGTTGCTGTGGTGAGAGGGTCCCCCCGCCCCCAGCTCCCTGCTATCCGCTTGGAGGGCAGCAGCCAGCACAGCCCCACCATGGGATGGAAAGCAGGAAGTAGCACCACCTAGGCTTTGTCCTGGGGAGGGGGACACAGGTTTGCACCGCAGATCTCTTGCTATGAGTATCTAAACTTCCCTCCTCTCCACGCGCCACAACCAACAAGGGCTTGGAGCTTGCGTTTTCTCCCCCTCCTTGGCAGAACCAGCTGAAAAGGGCTCGCTTCACAATCGTGGATGGCAAATCTGGGAAAGGGATCAGTTTCAAGGATGTAGCAGGCCTGCACGAGGCCAAGACAGAAGTCAAGGAATTTGTGGATTATCTGAAGGTAAAAACCATGACTTGCCTTGGGAAGCAGGAAGGCTGAGGACAGGGAATTGTTGGAGAAACTGCAAACCAGTTTTTCTTCCTCTAGAATGGGCCTTTGCTCATTCCGAGGTGCTTTCAAACAAAAGAGTCTGTAGGAGAAGCTGCAGAATACCTTTGGCCTCCTGCTGCACCTGTGGGAAAGAGAACAGCGCCTTGGCTCTCGAGTGTTCTCTGCTCTACCCTTTCCTTTTGGTTCCAGAGTCCGGAGCGCTACCTCCAGCTGGGTGCCAAAGTGCCCAGAGGGGCCCTCTTGCTTGGGCCACCAGGCTGCGGCAAGACCTTGTTGGCAAAAGCGGTGGCTACAGAGGCCCAAGTGCCATTCCTGGCAATAGCTGGCTCCGAATTTGTGGAGGTGATTGGCGGTGAGTCCTTTTTCTCGGCCATGGAGCCTCCCATGGAAGGAGATGCTTTCCAGAGGACGTGAACCAGTTTCCTCATAAAGATGCTTGTAGCGATGGCCACAGATCCGCTGCTGCTCCCTCCTGCGTGCTTCCCACCTACTGATCCTCCACCATTTCTGACCTTAGAAAGCTTTGGCTGGAGCCCCGAATTCCTTGGGAGGATTGGGTGGCTCTCGAGGGGCTTCCAGATCCCAGAACAAGCATTGGGGCTTTGACTAGCCGAGCTTCCTGGGTGGCTCCCTTGCTGCTACTTTGCCCTCTGCTGGCTCCTGGCAGAAAACTTGCCTGGCTAAAAACGGACCCCGCAGCCTGTGGGTTTGTTGGCTGAGAGCTGCGAGGGTCCCAACCAACAGGAGCAGAAACTCTTGAGAGCCCAGTCTCCCTCCCTTGGACGCAGTCTGGGTCAGAGCTCACTCCCAGTTTGCCCTTCTGCAGGCCTTGGCGCTGCCCGGGTGCGGAGCCTCTTCAAGGAAGCCCGGGCTTGTGCCCCGTGCATCGTTTATATAGATGAAATCGACGCGGTTGGGAAAAGGCGTTCGACAAACATGTCTGGCTTCTCCAACACAGAAGAGGAGCAAACCCTGAACCAGCTGCTGGTAGAAATGGACGGTCAGTTTTTGATGGCAAAGCATTTGGTTTTGAAGTCTGGGGTCTTTTCTTCCCACCGCACCCCAAAAGGAAATTCACCTCTCCTAATAGGGCATTTCCCCTCCAGCATGCTTCTTCCCTCCCCACTCCTTTCCCAAGCTGCTGTCTGTTTCCTTAGATCTGGAGGTCTGGGCTTCCCTTCATTGTCAGCTCTGCTGTTTTTCTCTGCTGCCTCTCCTTTGATGGGTTTCTGTTTGCTGGTCAGAAGGGAAGATGAACATCATTGCTGGCTGCATTTGACGCTGCTGGCCAGGGAGACGTGCCGCCCGAGAGAGGCAGTTCATGTCTCGCCCAGGGAAGCAGAGGAGTTCCTTCTGCTCTGATTCTTTTCCTCCAGGGCTGCGCCAGGAGAGTCTCCCTGCTCAGCAGGAAGACAGCCCTGCTCCTTCCAGCTTTCGGGGGGGGGGGGGATTCTTTTTAAAGGCTTAGTCGCTTTGTGGGAGGGAGGCCCAGGGAAGTGCTGGGAAGACTGACGGCCTCCTCTCCAGCTAGAGACTGATAAGGAGGTAGGCCTCCATAGAAGCAGCATGGCATGAATTGACTGTCCGGCCTTATGCACGTCAGAAGTGGCAGAGCCAGCCGTTGCCTGCTTGGTCTTCATGGATGGAACTATATTTCAGGGTTAATAGAGTTGGAAGCAAAAATGAATCTCCGCCTTTAGAGCCATTACTGCTCAGACTGGTTGAGAATGAGTCAAGCTCAGGTATTGGCATCTGAATGCTGAGTCAACTCCCTAATTCCCTACTCCGAGTGTGTTTGGCCGCCTTCGTTCCTGAAACTTCTGTGGGTTCTTCTGCTTTATATTTGCGCCTTGCTTTGAAATGTGCCCTTTGCAAGAACCCGAGCATTTAGACAGCCAAGCTGGTGATGGTCAGGAAGCCCCCTTTTCCAGATGTGCACAATAAGTAGGTAGCCTTCTTGCTTTGCTGCCTCTGGATTAAAACTCAGCACCTGCCTTTCCTGACAGAAAAGGTGGCAAAACATGGGCTGGACCACTAGACAATTATAAAGTGAATCTTCATCAACAGAGTTTTATGGTCATGATTGGGGGAAAAAATCCTCATCCTTCGACTGGGTTCTGGGTTGGCCAGACCCACTTCAAAGTGCTGCATCCAGTTCCAGGCATTGACAATCTGGTGCGTATCCGGAGGAGAGCGAAAGGATAGGGCAGCTAGAAAGAAGAGATGATCTTGGCAGCATTGCACATGTTTAGCCGCATATGCCAGTGCCGAGCACGTCCGCACAGGAGCTAAAAACTGTTGATTGAGGATGGATGTCAGTCTTGGAACTGTAAGGGCACCACTTGCAGAGTTAAATCCCAGAGGCTTGTATTAGTGAGTTTGTGGCCACTGGCAGGTGGAGGGCTCTGTGGACCGACAGGTTGACTGAGGCTGCTGAGCCAGCCCAAGGGGCTCCCAGCTGCTGTGTTCCTTCTTGTTGATAAAGGGAAGGGAGGGGGGGGGCTCTTTGAGGCTCACCTCTCCAGCATCCCGAGAGGAGCAGTCCTTGCCTGGGGTAAAGGAGAAAGAGATCCTTCTGCTTGCAGTGCCAACACTGCTCTGTTGCAGATGTGTTTCCAAAAGTGGAAAGAGTAGGCAGGGCTGTTGTGTGTCTGCGGGAAGGAGCTGGACCTTCCATTTAAAAGCGGCATGCTTCTGGCAAATGGTGTGGCCTGAATTGTTATAAACAATTTTTATGTAATGAAAAGAAGGACTCGGGCAACATGATAGCACAGTGTTCCAATATCTAAGGGGCTGCCTCCAAAGCACCGGAGGGAAGGACCAGAAGCTAATCAAGGAGAGAAGCAACCTAGAACTAGGGAGAAATTCCCTGACAGTGAGGACAATTAACCTCCAGAAGCTGTGGGTGCTCCATCACGGGAGCTTTTTTTAAGAAGAGACCGGACAGCCACTTGTCTGAAATGGTCTAGGGTCTCCTGCTTGAGCAGGGGGTTGGACTAGAAGACCTCCAAGGAAATTGTGGGCTGAATATGGCAATGTAGAGTCCAGAAAGGGCAGTGTCTTTACAGTTGGAGTTGTCTGCAAAGACTGGATGGTCTTTTCCCAATCATACCACATGTCTGAGTTCTGTTTTCAGTTGAAGAGTGCAGGCAAGTGATTTAAAGAAACATTCTATACTTTATCATTACACAGCTCAGGCTCCCCCCCACCCCCAAAGGTTTATGAGCATCTCCTTCCTGTAACTTCCTCCCTCTTCTTGGTCCAGCATCCACACTGGATTGTCCCTGGATTGCCGCTGTGCCCATGGCACAGAGAAGGTATCTCTGGCATCTTTGCCCATTGTTTCTCAGGTTCCGCCATTTCTCTTCTGCAGGGATGGGGACCACAGACCACGTCATCGTGCTGGCATCCACCAACCGAGCTGATATCCTGGATAATGCTCTCATGAGACCCGGGAGGCTCGATCGCCACATTTTTATCGATCTGCCCACTCTGCAGGTATTATAATGGAAGTGGAGGAAGGTGCACCTCTGGATTCTTGCATCCAAGGCCAACTCTGCATGGCCAGTCACCTGCTTGAACGCCCTACTTTCCTTGTTGCGATTATTCATTCTGAGTCATGTGATCCAGGTGTTTATTTAAAGCCAGGAGCCTAAACAGTTCGTTGCTCCTGGCTGAGGAAGATGGCTCCACAAAGAGAGTTGGAGCCTTCTCTGCTCTTTCCTAGAACTGGCCCTGAACTCGGAGGAAAGGGGTGCAAGACCCTTCCTGCGCTTCTCTCTTTTGGGCTCCCCTCGTTCAAGGACAGCAGCAGCTCCTTTTCCCTTTCCTGGCCCAGTTGCCCTTTCTGGTTCTTCCCTGTTTAGGCCTAAAATTCCTCAGATGCCTGATCTGATCTGGCACCAGGAGCTGGAGCTGCGCAGCTGCCCTGAAGGGAAAAGGAGCAGGAAATCCTGGCAGCTGAGCCCCATGCTCTAATTAGGGCTATTGTAACCAGCCAAATGAGTCACACTCTGGCACAGGGCCAACCTGATCTTCTCCCCCCCCCCCCATTTCCTTCCTTTCATTCATGCGTCAAGGGAAGGGGAGCGCTTGTGAGTCTGGATTCGCTATCTTGGTGCTAGCGGGGCGATGGTGAAAAGGTCAGGGATGCACCAAATTCACCAAAAGCCGGGTCATGAAAGCTACAGCCTTTGGGGAAAAGGAGGGCGGCCATCTCAGCAGGCTCTTCCCTTTGCTCTTCCGGGGAAGGAAGGCATGGGTGGGCAGGCTAGGGAGAGCGGGGTTGGGGGGCGCTGGGCCTAGAGAAGCCTCGGCCAGGATCGGCCATCTCTGGCTCAGTGCCCATTGCGCCTGAGACATCCTGGCGTGGGGCAGCCAAGGCCATCTGCTCCGTCCGAGACCCAGACAGGCTCTCTGTGCACTTAAGCCTGAGAGCGGCCCTCCCCAGGCCTGTCCTGGGACCTTTGGGAGCGCGGAGGGGCTGCCCTTCTTTGCCCTCCAGTTCTTGCAAGGATCCCCTCCCTTCTGGAGGATCTGGTGGCCCCACAGCCACACATCTGCTCTGCTCTTTGTAGGAGAGAAGGGAGATCTTCGAGCAACACCTGAAGGGGCTGAAGCTCTCCCAGCCCAGCAGCTTCTACTCCCAGCGGTTGGCTGAACTCACCCCAGGCTTCAGCGGTATGTGGGGGGGGGACACAAGACCCAGCTTCTCTGAGCCCCTTCCCCAGAGCTATGGGGATCTTTCCTGTTGGAAGAGAGAGCAAGGAGTCCCCTCTGTGTTCCCTGCCAGCCCAGCCCAGCCCCCATCCTGTGGCGGCTGCCACTTTGCTGCTGTCCACTCCGCCTACAGACCCCAACTCAGAACAGATGAGCCTCCTCTTCCCCAGCAGCCTCTGCAGTCCCATGAGCCATCCTAGGGCCACGCCAGGCTGGTTCTTCCTTCCTGGGAGCACCCTGTGGTTGGGCCCAATTAACTCCTTGCTGCCCAGATGTGCAGCACCTCTGTGTTGGCAGCCAGGCCTGGCCTGCAGTTTGAATCCTGCTTAGACAGCACAATCAGCAGGCCTGGCTGTCTGCTCCCTCCTTGAAAGGCCTGTTTCTCATTTGCAGAAACCTCCTTCCAACCCACTTCCAGGTTCCCACTCCAGAAGGCTTGTTTTTCTTTTCCTTTTGCTGAGCTACTTATTTTCCGAGTTTTTAAACCCTTAAATAAAATGCCACGGTTGATTTTTAAAAAAGGCATTTAGAGAAAAATCCCTGGATGTTGGTAACGAATGAGGTTTAAGCAGAAAAAGATGAGAAAAGGAAGGACTATTGAAGTGAAGATCAGAAATACCTTCCAAGGCAGAGGGGGATTGATGTGGTGTTAGCTGTAAAGAGGCTCTGAAATCCCTCAGCTGCAGAGGCTGCTCCCCAGGATGGGGAGACCCAGAGTCAAATTCCGCTTGTCTTTGAACTGGGCACCATGCTCAGCCTTAAAGGGAAGCATGCGCAAAGCCTGGAGCCCCTGGAGGAAAAGGCATGGGAATAAGAGATGAAACCCAAACACATTCCCATAGAGGCATTCTGGTCATTGCAAGGGTTGGTAAAAAGTATTGGCATCCTCTCATCATAAGATATTAGTAAGGGTGCTGGGAAGTGCCTGCCTGTCTGTCCATCAGCAGGACAATCTCCAAGAACTGAACAGGGATGGATTTCATGGGGGCTGGGGGGAGGCTGGCAGAAGGAGGATGAAGAGGGGCTTGGATCCAGCTGGGGCTCCGGAGGAAAAGAGGGCAGAAATGGCTCTCTCTGGTGCATCCCAGGGGGAGGGGGGGGGCCTTCCTAAGCCTCATCCCAGTCACATGATCAATCTTACACAGCCACCCCTGGGCTTCTCAGTTCGCACATCCACACAACACACATCCAAATGCATTACTTCATTACACAAGATACCGGTGCCATCTATGGCCATTGACAGTAAAGAGGTTAGAGAGAAACCCAGAAGCCATTTCCTGCAGTGTTTCTCTACCTTAAATCCTGCCAGATGTTAAAAGCGTTTTGTTACCTTGCACGACTTGAAAACGAACCAGTTCTGTCAGCTACGTTTCCCTCGCCTTGTCCAGCTACCTTGGTGTAATGTAACTGAGAGGCTCCACTGCCTTTCCTTGAAGAAAAAACGCTGCTCTTTAAAAAGCTGAGCGACCAGAGCCCACGGGTGAGACGCTTGCGTAAATCCCGAGGTCTTTAGGGAACCCTGGAGATTAGCCTTGCAGTGAGAAAGAGCCCAGGATGAAGGTTTTGGAAGGCTGGGCAGGCGAGAAGAAACTCTTCCTGGAACAATGAATAGATTCACATTTGAGGTCAGATCCTGCAAGAGGAGGCTATGCAGCCACTATTTCTGCAGACGGGGAAAGGCAGTGAGAGGAACAATGGACATTGAGACTTAGTGGCTGGGATGACCAGGCAAGGAGGGCTGCCCCCACCCCCCAACTCAAGGGGCGGACTGGCTGCCTGGAACTGCCTTCCAAGCTGGGTTGGCAAGTGAGGAGCGGAGAGGATGGTTTGCTTTCTTTCTCCCACTGGTGTCATTGCTGGCCCTCGGTATCTCTTCCTATGATGGGCTCTGCTGGGCGATATGGGTGGGTGGCCCCACTGAGAACCCCATCTTGGCTTTTTAAAAGCGCCCCACTCTCTTCCCACCATTCGATGCGCCAGAAGCCGAGTGAGAGGCAGCGTGGGGTTTCGTCCGCAGGAGCTGATATTGCCAACATTTGTAACGAGGCGGCTCTCCACGCTGCCAGAGAGGGATACAAATCCATCGACACGATCAGTTTTGAGAGTGCTGTGGAGAGAGTAATTGCAGGTAAGCTTCCCTTTTTCTTTCCTGGTGCCTTGTGGTTGGGGGGGGGAGGAGTGATTGTGTTCTTCAGCCTAGATTTGGGAGGAGATCTCTGCTAGGAGAGCCACTCAAGTGGTCACCAACCAAGCAAAGCACATTGGGTGGGTCTCAGTTCCGGTTCATTTAGCATCTGGTGTGGACTGCCAGGCTCCCCTGAGTGATCTTTATCTCTGATCATGCTGTGTTTTGTGAACATGTCCTTTGGCTTTGATAGGAGCTCCCTCAACACAAGTGGAGGCATATAAACTCCCAGGCTGCTGGCCAAGATTGGGGGTTGGTTGTTGGCATTTTTGTTGCAGTAAGGATCTTCTGATGGAAGCCTTCTGAGTTGGGGAGTCTCCACAGCGGCCAGCCTAGACGAATCACGCTTGCTGGAATTTGTAAGAGGCGAGTGGCAGAGCAAAGCTACTGGAGGCCACCTGGTGGGAAAGCTCACCTAAGCAGCCAGCTCTTTGGGGACAGAAATTGTATGGTTCTCACCAAAGAGATTGTTTTCATGCTTGGATGTTTCTTGGCTGCAAGGGTGCCTTTCGGTGAGGCAAAGTTTAATAGCAGTTAAAACTAGAAAGGGGTCTGTAAGTCTCAGGTGTGAGATTGTGGATTTGCGTGGTTGCCTAACAACCCATTTGTAAGCCTTTCTTCAAGCAAGCGTTGTTCTCCGCTTCCTTGGCCTCCTCATGACTCAAAATATAGAAGAGGCTTTTGAGCGCTTGGCCTGGTAATGCTGGAAACACAACCTGGGTGGCTTTCCCCCCCACCCCACCCCTTCACAGGCGCTGCCAAGAGAAACAAGATCCTTTCACAGGAAGAGCGGAGGGTAGTGGCATTCCACGAATCGGGCCACGCCTTGGTGGGCTGGCTGTTGGAGCACACCGAAGCAGTGTTGAAGGTAAGCTGGCTCTCTGCTGTGAAGCTGGATACGCAGAGCAAGGCAGGTCAGCTCACGATTCCTCCTCCCCCCCCTTTTCTGCCCCAGGTGTCCATTGCTCCCCGCACAAACGCTGCGCTGGGCTTTGCCCAGATCCTGCCCAAAGACCAGTACCTCCTGACCAAGGACCAGCTCTTTGAGCGGATATGCATGGCGCTGGGGGGCAGAGTCGCGGAAGCCATCACCTTTAACAAAGTGACTACAGGTGAGGAGGGCCAGCCTTGCCCAGAAAAGGGCCAGGAAGCTCGTTGGCTTCCCAGGGGCAGCGTGTGCCTCCCTTCGGATGAAATTTAAAAAGCCCCTTGGCTGCCTTTCCCAGCATTGCCTTTGTTTTTAATCCTGCCTTGGTCCAGGGGCCCAAGATGACCTCCGGAAGGTCACCAGGATAGCCTACTCCATGGTGAAACAATACGGAATGATGCCCACCATCGGCCATCTGTCCTTCCCAGAGACGGAAAGCGGTCCGGGGATTGGACGGCGCCCCTTCAGCCAAGGGCTCCAGCAAATAATGGACCACGTAAGCTCTCCCAGAGAGGCTGAGCTGCAGGGGAGGCAGGACCAGCTCGTCTGGAGTTGCAGGGCTCCTGAAGCGGGGCCCCTCCCCGTCGCAGCTTCCCAGGCAGGAAGATTATCCAAGTGGCCTAATCCTGCCTATTGGGCAGTCAGGGCCAGGATGCTGGATCCTCAGCCGCCTCTTCTCCTGGCTGGGAGCTTTCACTGAAAGGTTGGGATCAGTGGCTCTAGCCAGTTGTGGCTCCCATTCCTTCCACGGCTGTCTTTTTCCTAGGAAGCAAAGTTGCTGATAGCCCAAGCGTATAGGCGCACAGAGAAGCTGCTCTTGGACAACCGGGACAAACTGAAGATGGTAAGGCCCTAATACAGTTCTGGAGAGCTGGGGAGGGAGGGTGAAAGGCCGGCAGGGGACCAGCAGTCAGTCCCTAACAAGTTGCTCCCTTCTGGCTTCAAGGGAAGTTGAAGGTTCAAGTGAATCTCAGAGCAAGTATAGGAGCAAGGAAAAATACACAACAACACTCTTGCTTGAAAGCTGGCAAAGAGCTCAGGCCTCTGCTAGGATGACCTCACTGCAGCACCCCAAAGACCACCCCTTTCAGAAGGTGCCCCCTTTTGTGCAGGTGGAGCCAAGAGGCAAAGTGGTTTGGAAGGCCAAAGAAGCCGAGAGGCTTTCTGCACTCTGAAGTGGACCAGATCCTCTCTTGAGGAGCAGGAAGCTTTTGTCTCCTGCGTCCATCTAGTTGTACAAGGCTGCATGTGCTCATGGTGTACGTTCTCACCCCTTCACCTTTTCTGGGCTAGCAGGGTCTGTGGTAGGGAAAGAGAGAGTGAATTCTGCCCCATCTCATCTCTGACCTGAGCAGTGCCAGAAACCTAAGAGATGGCCAAGGGTGTGCAAAACATTTCACGTCTGGAGCATCTTGTTTTTCTTCCAGAACAGGCGGATCTGTGATTTGATTCTGGAATATCTAGTTGCAGATGATGCAGAAGGAAAGGCAACTCGTGATATTCCAGATACACCGCATTCTCAAAAGAAAATGTGGCAGGTTTGCCACTTTTCAGTTTTCCCACTGGCAGAGTAATGTCTGCTCTGGGCAGCTGTTTCTGGCTCCTTAGCTGGACCGCATAGGTCAGGGGAGAAGGGTTTTCTACAGCCAGATTTCCTTGAGGCAAAACGTTTTGTAGTTGACCATAAAACTATCCCAGCTTTGGAAGTGGTGAAGGGGCTAAAACCTTTCCCCAGAGCTCTGCATTTTCAGAAGGCTTGCTGGGCTCAGTTCTGTCCTGTTATCAGGGCCCCTTGTTTTAAGGCCCTGAAGGTGCATTGCAGGGCATCGGGTCCCGTTGCCATTTTTGACTCCTGTGGCAAATGTGGAAGCTTCTGCTGAGGCATATCTATTTAAGCCTGCCAATTCTTCCTCTCTAGCTGGCAGACGCCCTGTTGGAGAAAGAAGTGATCAACTACGAGGACATTGAAGCCCTTCTTGGCCCTCCCCCCCACGGGCCCAAGAAAACAATCTCTCCCCAGAGTTGGATTGAAGCCGAGAGAGACAAGCAGGACAGAGGAGAGGAAGAGACGCCTCCCCCATTGCCCCCCTACAAGGAGGAGCAGGAGCCTCACCTGAGCTCCGTTTGAAGGCCGATCAGGAAGCGAGTAGCCGGTTAGATTCAGGTTTTTCTTCCAAACTTAGAAGTGCTAAGGATGCTTATTTTTGCATCCTGAATCCAGCCCAGTTTGGATGTGGGCAGTAGGCAGGCCAAGCGGTGAACAGTGCCGGAAGCACCATCTTTGAGACCCCTTTGGTTTTGGTTCAGAGCTGGTCTGAGTGACCTGTCCTTCCTGGAACAAACCCAGGTCTCTGCCTGGGGTCTCCTGCTTAGCTGTCCTCACTAGAACCATTTGGTTGCTATCTCAGTGCAGAGGCACGTTAGAGAGTTTCAAAGTAGGACCTTGCATTGCAGAGTTGAGAAAAGCAACTATTTTAGTCCTGCTACCTAAGCGCCCCCTTCTGCCAGGCTCCGTCACCTCCTGTGATCAGTGTCTGCCACCTAGTGGTCTGCTGAGGAACCAGCATCACAATTTGTTCTGGTGGAGAAGTCTGGTTAAGCCACCCAGTTCCTGCCTGGTGGTGTTGGGCATTTTCAAGGGGAACCTGACTATATACAGCACAATTGAATGGTTCTTGGTGAGGGAGCAAAGGCGGCTGAGAATTGGGACTCGGCAGCATCTAAAGTGAAGCCATAAGCTCCCTGTGCTTGTCTGCAGCCTAGCAACATCTTTGTGAAAACCCATTTCTCAAATTTAGGAACCACAGCATCAATGAAGTGGGATTTTAGGGTACATACATGTATTTGCCTTTTTTTTACACTGGAAGATATTGTATTTGGTTTTCAACGGGCTGCTGTATTTCAATAAAGATTCAGAAGTGCTGCAGATCCAAGTATTGAACTTTTAAGTGGTGGGATTTAACTAGAAAAACCACATTTCCTATTCTCTGTTCTGAACAATGTTATCCTTGGGTTCTGGATGAGAGGTACGACTATGATTTCTTTATTTGCTTTTTCTAGAATCTTCCTCCTCTTTACATAAAAAATGGGATTATTACATTTGTGAGATCATGATTTAGTGTTATATGATCACTATCTTTTTAAACAATTGTATGTTGTCCAATATTTACACACAATTTAAAAGAGACAATCAAAAAGCTAAGAAGGAAAACAAAAAGACAGAAACGCATCCTCTCCAGCAGCCTCCACTCTGATAAGCAGGGATTTACTTGGGTGTCAAGTAAATTTCGTTGTATGTGTATACTATGTATACACATACAATGACAATAAAGTTTATTTATTTATTTAAGAAACTTGGGCAGCCCCTGTGCTGTGGAGATGGAAAGAATCCAGTCCCTGAAATGGAGAACAGTACCTTTGCAAAGTGGGTTTTTCACACATGCACATACACACAATTTGAAACACAAGTAGTACAAGCAAAACAAAAGGCATTTTATGAAACGGACTCAAATCTTTTTACAGAACAAATGATACCATACTGTACCTTTCAATACAGATGATGTATCAGAAAGCAACAAATTGGGTAATTTTTGCACATCAAAGGAAATGGCTATGGCTCAAAGGAAAAACATGTTTTCCTAAATTTCTAAAGGGGGCTACCATGCTAATATGTTAAAGTGCTAATTTATGCCTAAAATTCTAGGGAACAATGTTAACTGAAATACGGTGGAGTTCATTTTGCATTTTTCTCCTAATGCTAGCCAAGGCAATTCTCCCTAGATAGAAAATGCCTTTTTGCAAATGATCTTGCAGGGTTTTCTAAAACGTTCTTGATGTGGCTGTCTTGCCTTCTTTACATGTGAAGGCGTGATAAAGCGGCAGACCTGTGCTCCAACAGCTAAGACGCCAGGATGGCATGGCTTCTGAATAGCCAGTTTCTTAAAACCTGCCCTCTGGTGCTCCTGTTGCTGGTAGAGATAAATTTGAAAACCTTGGAGTGATGTAGAAATGGACAGAAATTTGTGAGCCCAGTATCAAAAGGTTTAATTCCTAACAGGTACCTGATGTCTGACAGCCAATGTCACCATGGGTGGGGTTTTTGCTTACACTGCAGCCGCCTTTTCCTTTTTGAACATCTCTGTATGCTCCTGCCTAAGAAGATAAAACTTCTTTCCTTGAATTAGAGCAACAATCCGACACAAGCAAGTTTTACTCTTGGGTAGCTTTCAACGCATAGCTGAGTGCCAAGCATCTCTGTCCCATTCTGTAGTATTTATACCCCTCTTCCTGCATCAGATGCTGTCCAGATATTACAGACTACAACTGCCACCTTCTTTGAGAAGCACGTTTATTAAGCCAAGGGGAGAGTATAATCCACTAAATCTGGAAAGCATCAGATTAGGAAAAACGATCTACTTTTCTCTGGCTTCATACAAGGCGGTGCAATGGAAACCAAAGCGGTGAGGATGAAGGTTCCTTTAAATTAAGCACCATCTTTGTGACTGGCAAAGCGATTGGAAGCAGGAACTGGGAATTCCGCTGCGTAGATTGGCCGGAGTGAATGTCGCACTTCCGGGGCGCCTTGGATGCGGCGACGGCAACATATCCCGGCGTTCCTCGCGCTGCCTCTTTCTTTTTCCGGCCGGCCATTTTCTCTCCCGGGAGGTGAGTTCTCATGCTGGGCCGGCGGTGGGTCTGCATCTGCCGCCATCCTCGCCCCGCGCTGCGGAGGCGACCCCCGAGACGCGCGGGCGGCCTTCGGAAGGCCTCGCGGCTGAGCTGCGGCGACTCGGAGGGCGAGGAGGAGCCTTTGCTTGGAGCGAAGGGCTGCTCGACCCGGCGGGGCCTCCGACCCCGGGACCCTCCTGCGTGCAAGGAGGCCCCGCCCGTTGAAACCGCCCAGGGCCGGGTGGGCAAGCCGCCTCCGGTACTTGGGGCGCCGGCCGGGGCCTCCGAAGGGCCTGTGGGGACCCTGCGGGGGCGGCTCTGTAATGCTCGCCTCTCCGGGGGTTGCAGAGCTCGAGGCGGGGCGGGAACTCCCGGGAGAGCGGGGCCTTCGCGGCGCCCCTTTGCGCTCGCCTGCCCCGTTAAACCAACGCGCGGGGCGTCAGCGAGGCTCCCGCGGGCATCGGCAGCCGCGGAGGGGGCGAGAGCCGTGGGCTTCAACGGCTGCGGTGCTGGAGGGACCCATATTTCAGCTGCTGTCGCCAGTGGCGTTTCCGGGCCCTGTGCAGTCGGTTCGGTGCAAAGGACGGGCTCGGAAAGGCGCTTCTTAGCGCGGGGCTCGGGTCCCTCTCCGGGTCTGCATGCAGGAATAGCCGCCCCGCTGGGGGGGGATGAAAGGCGTTTTCCATCAAGCGGCTGCCGAAATGGTATCCAGGAGGCGTTTAGGGTAACCCGGCTGGCTTTGTGTTTTCAGGGATCTAAGCAGGCATGGCGCCCAGCCGGAATGGCATGATCTTGAAGCCCCATTTCCATAAGGATTGGCAAAGACGAGTGGCCACGTGGTTTAACCAGCCTGCCAGGAAGATCCGCAGGTGAGCTCACTGAGCCGATGCGATTCCCAGCCAAAGGACAAGGACTCTGGATGATACGAAGGGGCTTCGTTGCTACAGCCAAATGATGAGAATTCTCCGGAATCGCTGTACTTCATTGATGAACCTTTGAACCCATAAAGCTGATGATTGTAGCTGCCCCCACCCCAGTGGAGTGCCTTGTTGTGACCACCTTGCTTGATTTTGCTATAATGCATCTTCAGAGATGATAGGCGGGCTTTGATGTAGTCCTTTCTATTGCTTTTCCCCCTCAGGAGAAAAGCCCGCCAGGCCAAAGCCCGTCGTATTGCTCCTCGCCCAGTATCTGGGCCAGTTAGACCCGTCGTGAGGTGCCCCACCGTGCGATACCATACAAAAGTCCGTTTGGGCAGAGGATTCAGCCTGGAAGAGCTGCGGGTGAGTGAAGGGGGGGCGTGGGAAGAGAAATGCCGGGGGGGGGGGGGGGGGGGGAGGATGGGTTGTCTTGCCCTAGATCATTTTGAGAGCCGGGTATTCTATGCTGAGATTTCTTTTTATATTAGAAACTCCCTTGACCAGGTTTCTTGGTGTACCAATCTGTATTTTCAGAGAATATGATAACCTAAGCAAGATCTTGCTAGTGATTCTCTTACCCTCAGTAAGCCATTTGCGGTCAGAACTTTGCAGTCAAATGATAACCTCCCAAAATACCTGTCAGCTTGATGATGGTGGTGCCTTGAACCCTTTCCCAGCTGATGACTGTCCTGCCTCCCCAGAAGGAGCAGCAATTCAGACTTACCTTGATTTGAATCTTGTGTTCACATGACTCTCCCTAGATGGCTGGTATCCACAAGAAATTTGCCCGGACCATTGGTATCGCAGTGGACCCCAGACGCCGGAACAAGTCTACCGAAGCCTTGCAAGCCAACGTCCAAAGGCTGAAGGAATATCGCTCAAAACTCATCCTCTTTCCCCGGAAGTCTTCTGCACCCAAGAAAGGAGACAGCACGGTGAGAACAGAGTTTGTGTGTAAAAAAAACCTTTTTGTCTGCAGCTTGGCTGGAGCAAAGAGCCTTGTGGAGCACTTTAGAAATGCTGTTTCTTCTCTCCTTGTTTCTATAGGCAGAGGAACTCAAGATGGCCACACAACTCTCTGGACCAGTTATGCCCATCAAAACTGTAAGTGACCCTGGTTTCTGGATTTACTGGCTCTTTCCTCAAACTTTTTGGTTTAACCAGGAGCTGTTTCCTGCTTTTAACTGAAGTTTTTAAAGTTTTGCCTTGGGTGTTTTTGTGGGGAAGGTGGGCTTATGTGCTTTAGACGTTCTCTTTCCCCCCCAAGGATTGGAATGGGGTGAGGTGTACAAGAGGATTTAACACAGATGTTGGAAACTTGTATTTATGGTCTTAATTGTTACATGTATTAAGTTGTTTTAATGGTTGATTGGGAGCTGCCCAGAGTTGGACGTAAGATGGGTGGCTGTATAAATGTAAATAAATTTTATTGTTGCACTAAGTTTCATAAATTAAACTTGATGCTAAGAATCAGCTTCACTGGATTTAATTCATTAGATTAGAAGGTAAATTTTGTCCACATGATGTTTAGTTCAGTAGATCTCTGTCCTGTCTTTTTTTCCTAAACAAGACATTTCTTATATTGGCTTTCATGATTCCAATCTTTTATTTCCTTTGGTCTCCTTTCATGGTTCTGATTCCTTAATTGGGAAGCAGATACCAGAACCATGCCGTTCTGTACTTAAGTATTTGTCAGCTGGACATCTTTTTTTCAATCTCTTCACCATATTTAGAAGCTTGTGGGTTGCGAAGAAAAATATTTCCTGGAGAGCTTTCATGCTGAATATATGACTGAAACGGGAGAAGCCTGCCTGTGAGAAGTTCTTACAGGCAGTGTGAGCAATTGTGCTAATAGAAAAAGGCCCAGCATGTGCCAGTTGAGATATGAGTGACTGTTGCAACTCTTCCCTTTCGTAGGTCTACAAAAAGGAGAAGGCCCGGGTTATCTCGGAAGAAGAGAAGAACTTCAAGGCCTTTGCCACTCTGCGCATGGCCCGGGCAAACGCTCGGCTCTTCGGCATTCGGGCTAAGCGAGCCAAGGAAGCAGCCGAGCAGGACGTGGAAAAGAAAAAATAAACTGCGTGGACAGATCAGTTCAATAAAAAAAGAGAAATTTGCCTGTGTTTGGATGCAGCCGTGGAAAGCGGGAGGTAGAAGGGTTGCCCCAGAAACGGCGGGGTGCTTTTCCCTTCTTCAGTGCAATGCCTGGCAGTGATGGACTCGGTGGGCTTTGTGCTTGCTGGCAGGTTTGAATGGGAAGACTGCAGGTGGTTGGGGGGCCCTTATTATCTGGGGGGCTGGGAGCAAAGTGCCAGCTTCAGCGTACTTGTTGAAAGTG